GGATTTACACATGGACAGGCACCTTATGGTGGAAATGCACCGAAATGTGGCCCAACAGGCTGGTATGGGGAATGTGAATCCATGACCTTGGTGTTATAAGGCTGTGCTCTAACCAACTGAGCTTACTGGCCAGTGCAATACCAGGTTTTATGTATTGTTGTTACCAATAGCATCAGTCGCATATTTTCCCTTTTTTGTTAGTTTGTTTTGTTTTTAATCATCTTCTTTTATTTCACATCTACCTTCTCTGTTGGGTTTTCAGATTTGACAGGTTGTCCCGGAAGATAGTCTTAGATTCTTAAAATTATATATATCTGTATATATACGTAACCATGTATTTTATTTCTGTTCTTTTCTTTTGCTTCCTGATTAAACCTATAAATTTTCAGGAAATTATCTGTTTTATGAGTAACAGATGAGTAAACAAAACCATTATAGTTTATTCAATTTACACCCTCAAAATTTAGTGAAGTTAGTGACTGGATAATGATACACCCCAGAGAACTCAATAAAAAATTATTGAATGAAAGAATGAACTGTTACACAAATAAGTCCTAAATGAGAGACTAATGTGTCACCTCACTTTTTACCCTGGCTCTGTGCAGTCTTGGAAGTGGATCCTTGCACCAGTCGTTCTTTATATCTTTGAGAGGATCCTCCGGTTTTATCGCTCCCAGCAGAAGGTTGCGATTACCAAGGTAAAGAATACGCACTTTCCTCTTGCTGTGATAAAGGGTTCTGTTCTAATTGATTATAGAACAAAACTGCCATGTTGTCACCTTGAAGGGAATAAAAAGGGATTTGGGGGCAACATACCTCAGTTCCTCCAGTGCTGGATAGAAGTATGGGCAAGATCAGACAGCCGGAGTCAGATCTAGCCCATGGATTTATTTTGTTTCATTTACACGATGTTTCTTTAAAAAGTTGAATTGGTTGCCAACATTTAAAAATCTCAATGGAGGCTTTCACATAAAAAAAAAAAAAAAGGACTTGTGCTCACCACCGTCACCAGCCCTCCAGCTTTACTCACTTACTTTATCTGCCTGCCTGCCCGCTTTACTCATACTTTATCTGCCTGCCTGCCCGCTTTACTCACTTACTTTATTGCCTCTTGAGTTTGCCTACTTTGGTCTGCGTGCTTCATTCACAGGTTGTCATGCATCCATCCAGAGTGTTGGAATTGCAAATGAACAAGTGTGGCTTCAGAATGGAAGTGGGACAATATATCTTTGTTAACTGCCCCTCAATCTCCCTACTGGAGTGGCATCCCTTTACTCTGACCTCCGCTCCAGAGGAAGATTTCTTCTCCATTCATATCCGAGCAGCGGGGGACTGGACAGAAAAGCTCATAAAGGCTTTTGAACAACAGCATTCACCCTTTCCCAGGTAGGTCTTTGAGACCAGCAGAGACCCAGACCAGGATGCAGACTGGCAGAAAAGAGGAAACAATTCCTCCTTGAACCTTAAGTCTGGTACAATAGAGTATGATTAAAATAAACAAGTGGAAGTTAGCCATGGGAACAGCTATGCTTCAGGGAAGATGTTTGAAGTTGAGAGTGGAGGTGAGTCTTCACTTGCCAGTTGTGTTCTGTCTTTTGCCAGGATTGAGGTGGATGGTCCCTTTGGCACAGTCAGTGAGGATGTTTTCCAGTATGAAGTTGCTATGCTGGTTGGAGCAGGAATTGGGGTCACCCCCTTTGCTTCCATCTTGAAATCCATCTGGCACAAATTCCGGCATGCTGACCACAACCTCAAAACACAAAAGGTACACTCCTACATACCACTTTTTATCTGGCCTGGGTCTAACAGGTCTGTTTGCCTTCATGGGCTAAGCTCTTTACAGTTAATCAGGGAGTAACCTCTCTAGAATTATGAGTGAGTGGTCACTTCTCTCTGCCAGAGCATCTGCTTCTACAGTCACCATTAAGAGCAGGGTTTTCTTTTCAATTTGGAGTTTAAAATTGCCCTAAATCATAAGATGACCTTGGAGGGCTTTCTATAAGGGAAACTGTCAGAACTCTGGATATGCTGCCTAAGGTCTGCCACTCTGTAAAGGTGATTTGTCAGGTCAGCCTTAGACTTGATCAACAAATATAGAGTATATATTTATATCACCACAATGTACATTATAAAGGGCACTTAATAAGGCTATGCTCTCTCTTGATGATTCCAGATCTATTTCTACTGGATCTGCAGGGAGACAGGTGCTTTTGCCTGGTTCAATGACCTATTGACTTCCCTGGAACAGGAAATGGAGGATTTAGGCAGAGTGGGTTTTCTAAACTACCGCCTCTTTCTTACCGGATGGGACAGCAACATTGTGAGTTCAAACAATACACGATTTTCCATGTTAAATGTAAGATGAATGTCAGACAAATGATAGTGCATGGTGGTTGGAAATCACTATTTCTTATGATTTCCTACCTGCCCTCACCCTCGTACCCAAGTTTAAAAGTAGCTAAAGGGGGCTGACCGGTTGGCTCAGTTGGTTAGAGTGTGGTGTTTTAAAACCAAGGTCAAGGGTTTGGATCCCCATACTGGCCAGCCACCAAAAATAAATAAAGTGGCTAAAGGAAGAGGCACTATCAGTATTAACTTTTTCTAACTTCTTATCTTCTGACTCCAGGCTGGTCATGCAGTATTAAACTTTGACAAGGCCACTGACATCCTGACAGGTCTGAAACAGAAAACTTTCTTTGGGAGACCAATGTGGGACAATGAGTTTTCTTCAATAGCTACTGCCCACCCCAAGTAAGTATATTCTTCTCTCGTTAGTTGTTTGCAGAATTAGGGTTTAGGAAAGGTACTACAGCATGTTGAACACTCTTGAGGAAAGATCTCAGGGGCAGAAACTATTTGCGTCATTCTTAGAATCTTGCTTAAAATGGAGGAAATTTCATCTGGGGTTTTAGCAAAATGAGGGTCATGATCTTATAACTGATGAGGTGTGTGCTGCCCCAGCAACCCCCCATTCAAACAGTGAGGCAAGGAGACTCGGTTCTGATCTATACTACCAAATAAAATAGAGAACTGGATCAATTCAAATGCATTTGTGGGGGCCTCGATGACCTTTACTCAAAGTAACAAGGGAAGAGTGTACTGGGCTCAGTCTTTCTAGAGGACTTTGAGACATGTTAGAGCATACAGGAAAACCTGGTGCTATGAAACCCACCATTCCAATGGAAGGAGATGAAGCTGATCATGGTAGATAAACTCCCTGAACAAGTTGGCAGGTGAAGATCAATTCAGTTCCACAAGCATTATTGGTTACCTTCTATAAGCTCAGCATTCACAATTCTAGAAGCTTTGGAGGTTGAAAGGGAAATAGGACATGGTTCTTGCCCTCAAGGAGCACATATTTGAATAAGAGATGCATACAATCAACTCAAAGCAGAATGATGCACACCATGAAACAGGTACATGGGAAGGGAAGAAAAGTCTATGGGCGCATGGGGTGATTAGGAAAGTCTTCAGGAAGGCAGCAGCGAGCACTTAGTGACTTGGATTCATGTGATCATGGGTCCTAATGCTGGTTCTGACAATTTCCTGTTCTGGTACCTTGAGCTAGAAAACCCTCTGATATTCAGATTTCTCATCTGTAAAATGGGGGTTATATTAGTAAATGCCTGCATATTAGTAAATGCGGGGTTATTGTGAAGATTAAGCAAAACAATACATGAAAAATGTTCTGTCATAAGTGGGAGCTAGAAAAGAAAGAAAGAAAAAAAGAAACAATTACAATAATATGTTGAACTTTCAGAAGGAGAGAACAGAACTGTGGTTACTAGAGGTGGGAAAGGGGGAGAAGGAAGGAGGTTAGTGAGAAATTGGCTTAGGGCCGGCCCGTGGCTCACTCGGGAGAGTGCGGTGCTGATAACACCAAGGCCTCAGGTTTGGATCCCATATAGGGATGGCCGGTTCGCTCACTGGCTGAGCGTGGTGCTGACAACACCAAGCCAAGGGTTAAGATCTCCTTACCGGTCATCTTTTTAAAAAAAAAAAAAAAGAGAGAGAGAGAAATTGGCTTAGGGTCACAAAGAATGATTACATTTTGTAATGATGAACATGCTAATTATCCTGATTTGATCACATAAATTGATATTCAACTCTGTACCCCATATATGTATAACCAATTATGTTTCAAAAAAAAATCAAGCTTAAAAAAAAAGAAAAATGCTCTGTAAATTGTAAGGCAGCATATAAGCAAAAGAGATTATGCTACTTATCATGCATTTGAGTTGAACATACTTGAAGTTATAACAGTGCATGAAACTGCCAGGAGGGAGTGGCGAAGGGCAGAGTATTAAGGAATATCTACATTACATGGGAAGGGAGAAAGATAAACCAGGGAAGAAGCAGGAGAACGCAGAGAAATTATTAGAGTGTGGTCAACAGTGTTGGAAGACTGGCAGGGTCAGGAAATGCTTATTTAGCTTAAGGATGATCTAAGCATATTTATAGACCGAACAGGGAGCAGTACATAGGAATAAAATAAATATACAGAAGAGGGGAGAGGACTAAGATGGCCATAATAAAAGACTGAAAGTACCACGTGTTGACAAGGAAATGTAGAAATTGGAATCCTACTACATTGCTTGTGGGAATGTGAAATGTCGCTGCACTTGGGGAAAACTTTTGTCAGTTCCTCAGTGTTAAACAGAGTTTTCAAATGACCTGGCAATTCCATTCCTCTGTATACACCCAAGACAAGTGAAAACACATGTCCACACAAAAACTTGTACATGGTTGTGTGTAGCAGCATTATTCATAATAGCCAAAAAGTGAAAACAACCCAAGTGCCCATCAACAGGTGAATGGATAAATGGATAAATCCATTTGCTTTATCCACATAATGGAATATTATTCAGCTACCAAAAAGAATGAAGTAATGATACATCATGGATGAACCTTAAAAACATTATGCTAAATGAAAGAAACCAGACACAAAAGGCACATACACATATTGTATGATTCCATTTATATGAAACGTTCAGAATAGGCAAATATATAGACAGAAAGTAGATTAGTGATCATCTGGGGGGGTGGTTAGGACGAAATGAGGAGTGACTGCTAATGTGGATGGGGTTTTTTGGGGGAATGATAAAAATGTTCTGGAATTAGTAGTGATGATTGCACAACTTTGTGGCTATGCTAAAAAGCACTAAATGTACACTTCAAAGGGGTGAGTTTTATGGCATACGAATTATACCATAATTAGAAAAAAAAAGAGAGGAGAGGAAAGCATGAGAGAAGGAAAGACGGTGAGAGACCCAGAGCACGGTTGGAAAGATTAGCCTTGGCAAGAATACCACGTCTTCAACATGAAAAATTTTGAGGGGGTAAACTCATGGTGGATGTTTTTTTTTTTTTTTTTTAAAAAAAAGATGACCGGTAAGGGGATCGCTATGCTATGTGCCAGGCATTTTCCTAATTGCTTTACATGTTTCCATTTAATCGTCAAAACAGCCTTATGAGGTGGGTACTATATCACCATTTTACAGGTGGGAAAGCTGAAATAGAGAGGTTAAGAAGTTTGCCTGAAGTCCTGCAGGTGGGATAAATGTCAGAGCTGTGTTCTCAATCAAATAGGTAAGGCTGAGTGCTGAGAGGGGTAAGTGGTGAGAACATATTTGGAGCTTGCGAGCAGAAAAGGTTAAAAAACTACCACGAAGGGCCGGCCTGTGGCTCGCTCGGGAGAGTGCGGTGCTGATAACACCAAGGCCACGGGTTCGGATCCTATATAGGGATGGCCGGTTTGCTCTTCGGATCCCATATAGGGATGGCCGGTTTGCTCTTCGGATCCCATATAGGGATGGCCGGTTTGCTCTTCGGATCCCATATAGGGATGGCCGGTTTGCTCTTCGGATCCCATATAGGGATGGCCGGTTTGCTCTTCGGATCCCATATAGGGATGGCCGGTTTGCTCACTGGGTGAGCGTGGTGCTGACAACACCAAGTCAAGGGTTAAGATCCCCTTACCGGTCATCTTTAAAAAAAAAAAAAAAAAAAACTACCACGAAGAGGGAGTCAACAACTGAATTTTTACTCAAGGTTTTTGGGAGTAACAGAAGCCAAGCAGAGGCAGTTACTCCATTCTCACTAACAACATCAGCAGCCTTTGTTGCATTCTAACCCTTACTATTGTATTACTGCAGGTCTGTGGTGGGGGTTTTCTTGTGTGGTCCCCGGACTTTGGCAAGGAGCCTGCAGAAATGCTGTCACCGATACTCCAGTCTGGATCCTAGGAAGGTTCAATTCTACTTCAACAAAGAAAATTTCTGAATTACAGAAATAAGAACGGTAATCTGCATTTTGTCTCACCTTTGTATCTTCAACAACTTACTTGGTCTGGTCAGGTTTGGGCAGCCACTTTAGGATAATAATGTGCATCTCAAGCTTTGACTCTCTGGCGTTTTTTTGGTTGCATCCAACTTCATTACTTGAGCTTCACCAATCTAAGAACATCAGAAGTCACAGTAATTGCAAAGCCCATGGATCCTTTCTTGTGCAAAATAACTAAATCCTTCTAGAAAGCCATGACTGCAGGAAGGCTTGATGGAAGAGCTTTCTTTGGTGGTTGACAGTTAAACAATTTAACCCCATGTGATTTTGCTGATTCCAAATGTTACCATTTCCTGGACTTTGGTTCATAATCTCCCCTTCCACCCACCCTCACAGAAGATTTCTAAGTAGGGTGACTTTTTAAATAAAAATTTATTGAATAATGATAAAATATAACAATAAACATAAATAATAAACTGAACATAAAATTACCTAGAACCCCATCCCCACATAACACCAACTATGTACATTCTTACTGTTACTTTAAACATGGTCTTATCCAGTGTGAACAGCCATTTATGCTTTACTTAATTTTTGTCAAAAAATGAAGGATTTTCTTCTTTGCTTAATGAATGAGTCATCTGTTACTTTTTCTGGGCTCTCCATTTGGGAAAGAAAATCTTGACAGTATGCTAATTGTAATTGAAATTGTATTATAATTGAAAGTCAGCTATATTGTCATCTTCTATTGTTCTGTTGGACATGACTATGAAAACTTGAACTCCATCTTAGGATGACTTAGTCAACAGGGGCTCTTTATCACCATTTTTAAGGGGTTTTACTTATGTCTAGTTTAAAAAAATAATAAAGAATTTACAATTTTGATAGTTTTTTTTTTTTTTTGGCTCCTACCTACCTTTTCTCTAAGGAGTCATTCACCTAATGACATAAGTGAAATGCTTTTTATTTCTCCCATCTACTCAATCTTAGCCTACCACACCAGTGCTGGGATGTTAGTCACAGTGAATCACTAGGAGGAAAGAAGCCCCTGGCTCTTAAAAGAAAAAAAACCCACACTTCATTGTGCCCCCAAGACAATTCAACTCATTATAGATTTAGAGGAATATTTCTACTGAATTAGCATCATAGCACCTACTTTTCTACCATTAGGTGACCAAGAATGAACAAATGGTTATTTCTGATTATTCAGGAATATCATCGCTTGAAGGATTAGTAAGATTGCTTTTTTTCAGTCACCAGTCTGAACACAATAAAGGTAGGTCATTAACTTATGGTAGCTGATTGTGTTTTATTATACCACTATAAAATACTGATGGGTGTTTCTGTAGGGATAGACTGGGATACCATTGCAGTTGTCAATTTGTTTACTTAGATTTTAGCTATCTAAATTAAGTTTGATAAGGCTTTGGAAAATGCACAATGGAACCTTAAAGATGTTCCTATTAGACAACTGCTGGCCAAATAATTTCCTCTTCAATGACCTTGATTTGGAATCTTAGTGTTCCTTGACACTTCTTATTAAGAGTTCCTAATGAGAAAGGTTTCACTCTTGGTCTCAATGTCTAAATACATTGACACTTTGAGATATGCTGGCTGCCAAAATCAACATATCAAGGCCTAAATATTCATGAATTATGCAGAAAAGATAATGAAAATAATAAATCCTATGCATAATCAAAATCCTAGCTGAATTGGGGATGAGCGGGATACCCAGAAAGCTCCTCAGCTGTTTTTAGCAAGTTTTTCTTGCTTGGCTGTAATATAAACTATCCACCAAATTTTTGTTGTAATGTTTGTATACCAGAGTAGAAAATCCCTCAATTTCAATGTCTTTTATGAAGTTATCTTTGCATTATTTTGCTTGACACGTAAGCAATATGCTATTACATTCTCTAAGCCTATGCCAGGCTTTTAATTCACCTTGACCATAATCCTAACCCAGGGGGTAGGATTCTGAGAACATAAATAGGCTCAAAAGTAGTTCCAGTAGAACTTTATTATTAAGGCAACTCTTACCCTCTTGAGGTTGGCCTGATGAAGAGAAACCATGCTCCTCCTTAGTGACACTACGAGAGAGAGAGAGAATGCTAGGCAGGAAGACCCATAGGTTAGAGCTAGTGGCACTAATTATGTTCATACCTATCTGTAAAGAAGCAGGCAGGATCAGACCTAATGGGTGATATGGCTGCTTGTGCTCTGCATTTGGTCCTCTTACAATGACTGAGAAGAATGAAAAAGTTTTAGGGTTTTCTGTGTTTTAAGTTCCCAGAATAAATTTGGTTATAGAGTGATTTCCTGAAAGATAGAATGAAATGTATTTTGTTACAAAATATCTTGGATAAAATGTAGTTTTTATTTCATCTTGAACATGTGAAAAATTAGTGACTTTTTGAACTTTTAAAATTGACTACCTAGACAGAAGAGTTTTAGAATAGACAAGTAAATGCCAAGTTAAAAAAAAAAAGAGAGACAAGTAAATGTCTCTTGTGTTGTTGACACACACTCAAACCAGTGCTAACACAACCTGTCTTAACTCTGAACTATGCATGTTCAGTCAGATCTGCTATTGACAAAAAATGCATTTTGATATTTGGATTTTTATAAACTAAACACACTGCTGTGCTAGTAGGCTCTTTGCTTTGTTGGCCTTCTGACCATTTTACAGCTCTACACACATGCTATTTTCTCCCAGAAGACTCAGAAGTTCTAGAAAGTTTTCAGAGGGTAAAGCCTTATTATTCTTGCTGGAAGCAAACTAAACAAAAACTAAGTTCCAGAAAACACTGCTTCTGAAAAATTCTCAAATATCATCGAAAAGAATAAATGGTCAATCTAAAGTAAAAACAGCAATGGCAATATAACATTAAAGTACAATACTGCAGTTAAGGGTAGAAAACGCATCTAAGGTTTCACCCTTGGTGTTCAGCTTTTTAAAAGCAAAAAGGTCATGTATATCAATTTGCAGTGTACTAAAATTGTGTTCAAAGTTTATTTCAAGTCACAGAAAATATACAAACTAAGACAACAAAATGAACTGATTTTGTTCTGAGAGAAGGTGATAGGAGTCCTCCACCTGGCGCCACTTTGAGTCATTCCAGGGTTAGGATGCAGAAGTCATCTTTTTTTCAACATTTCAACAAAGTTTTGGAACTAATTTCTAGACTTGTTGCCAGGTATTTTTGAAAACCTGTGAGAAAAAGTTGGGAGAAAGTCATTAAAAGTGGAGACAAAGTGCTCTTCCCCAAACATCAGGAAAAAAATTAAAAAGCTGCAGGAGGGAGGATATGCCTAAGATCAAATTATCAGGACAGATTTCTAAGATGTCTGTCTCCTGCTTCCCCAAAGCAAATGTCTTGCAAGCAGGGTTTCTCAGCCTCAGCACTATTGACATTTTGGACCAAAGCACTCTTTGTTATGGGAGAAGGTGGTGGGATGGTGGGGTGGGAGGATGTCCTGTGCATTATGGGATGTGTAGCAGCACTTCTGGTCTCTACCCACTGAATGCCAGTAACATACCATACTCCCTAAAGTTTTGACAACCAAAAATGTCTCTAGACATTGCCAAATGTCCCTCTGGGGGCAAAACTGGCCCTGGTTGAGAACCACTGATCCCTAATGGCAATGGTATAGAAGCCTGTCAGTGATAGCAGAGATGGATCACAACTAGCTAGATAGGATGGAGGGAGGGCCAACACGTCAGCCACAGTATGCATAAATATCAGTAGACATACAGTAGAATTTTGCCCACACAATACTACACAAATATATGTACAAATTACTGTAGGTTTTTAAAAAAGTGGTGAAAACTGAATAAGGTTTGTAGTCTAGTTAACAGTAATGTACCAATGTCAATTTCTTGGTTTTGTACTACAATGCAAAAAAATATTATATGACAGCTATTTAAGATGCTATCATTGCAGGTAGCTGAGTGAAGGTACATGTGGTTCTTTGTACTATTTTTCCACCTTCCTATGAGTCTGTGATTATATCAAAATAAAAGGTAAAAAACAAACACACAAAAACCTTGCCCTGTAGTTAATATGCAAGGCTTTAAATGAGTTATTTCATAAGTAAGAATACATAACAAAAGAACTTTCAGAAACATATCTACCTCAACTATCCAAAAACAGTAACTTTCTCACATTGTAAGGAATGCCTTCTCTTCCATAAATAAAATAGAAAAAGTAAACGATAGGAATAGTTTTTATCTATTCCTCTGACTATAGATAGTCTATGCTTTTACTGGAGAAAATAGAATGCTTGGGTATCTGAAATAAAAAGTTAAAGTACTAGTCACACCAAAAGTCTCGACAGCCATCTGTCTATGATAGTTTCCTATTACTATGTAGTTCTGTCATTTAAAGTCTAAATATAGACATGATACATATTTGCAGTTTGGATGTTTTAAAAACATTAAAATATGGATTAAAATACAATATATTTAGTTAAGACTGCTAATTAGTATAAATGAGTTTACTATTATATGATAACATACGAACAGGAATTATAATATGGATGGGGTAAAAAGTAGAAATTAAAAATGTAATATTCCAGCCAATACTGGGACAATGTGAATTTTATACTGTTTTTTAGAAAACAGAATTGTTTACGTAATACAAAGATCTTGTAACACAAAGAAACAGCAATATGTGTAATCAAGTTAGGCACATGATTATTTATGAGGAAGGTTACCTGTATCCTTTTTACTTGACCGATGAGCAGTGTATAGCAATCTCCAAAATGTATAGAAACTGATGGTGTTGGTGGGTTCTTACTACCTTAAATTATGTGCTGTGGAAGTTTAACATCAAAATATTCACTATAAAACATATACTGGAAACTAAAATATTTATACATCTTATTGAACTACTTTGTATTTTTTCCATTTTGATAGGACAGTTTGGAATAAAATAATACAACTGATTCTGGAAGGATACACACCAAACTATATTTAGAGGTTCTGTCTGGGGAATGAGATTGAAGAAGCAGGGATTTTTACCTTTAACTTTCTATATTTCTGTATCTGATTAATTTTGTTAAACTGATCATACATTAAGAATGGAAGGTTAAAGATTATAAGCAATTCAACAACTGAACTAATGTTCTATAGCCTCACCTTATTTCTATATGGGCTGATGTACTGAAGGGTAAAGAGAGTCTAGCTAAGAGGATTGAGGGTCTCGGAGAAAATAATCTTGTTGGTTAAAGTTGAAAGTACATATCCAAGATACACAATGAGCTAGTCCTACTCAGGTGTGATTAAATTTGCTCACCTTTCAAGGTGCTCCAGTGGATTTCTGTATTTGTTCTTTTAAGATCAGGATACTCTGCCTTTGTTCAGGAGGCAGCATGGCAATCTGGTCTGCAGTCAGTTGAAGAACCTGCATAATCAAAGCAGCCTGTGCAGAGGGAAAAAAAAGTAGTGAGTTTTAATGATGGAAGCTAAAAAAAAAAAAAAAGTGCCACCAGCTTCTGCCCAAAAGCTACTGGAATGAAATGTGAAGCAAAATGGAAAAAGGAAGGACATCTCACACACAGAAAACAAACAGCAGGCAAAACAAACAAACAAACAAACAAACAAACAAAACAAAGCAAAAAACAAAAGCCACCAAAAACAAACAAAAAACCCCCCCAAAACCAAAAATCCAGTAAGAAAAGGCAAAATGCAAATAACAAGTATAAGTTAAAATACCTAAGATTAGATGATTCAAAACAGACACCTTTGTGAACTCAAGTTCCTGCAGACTAAGATGGTATCTGTGAGCTCTGGGAGTTCTTCAACTTTTAATCCTATTTTGAAAGTTTCTCCTTTTCATAAGTTTTAGTCTT